CGCTAAAAATATATATACTTTATAAAAAAAAAACTTGATTAAAAAAAAATCTGTGTGAATGAAGATGATCTTTGAAGATTTAGTGACGGACATTTTTTCCTGTCCCTTTTTTGTTGTTGTCGTTGTCTTTCCTTTTCTACCTGTGATTACATTTTCTGTTTTTATTGTGAATTATTGCAAGGGGGTGGGGTTAAAACTAGAGGGAGGGGTTAGGCAGGATCTCAGGGTCCAATCATATCATGTCTTTTTATTTGATCGTTTCATCGAGATTCACCGTTGTGTCTGTTTTTAAACATTTTTTTTTTAATGCATCCTGTCCCTTTGAATCAGCCTGTAGTTTGTCATTTTGTAGTATGACTGGATGGTGACAGCCTGTCACTTAAAGCCACAGTGAAACCATCTCAACGGCTGCTGCTTTCTTAGGCTTTCAGGTGCTCACATAGCACAAGTGTTTAAGTAATGAAAAGTATTTCAAGCTAGCGAGAACTAGCCTTTTCATTCCATTTTTCCTTCATCAAGAATGACTATACTGTATTAGAAGCATGGCAGGTTGTCAGATCATTACAAGGGGTATACTGTATATTAGATATTTATATTGAAATTAAGATTTTTCTATCTTTTTCTCTCCTGCACCATCTAATATTGTTAATTTTTGAAAAATCAACATACGTTACACAATAAGCAATTCAATGTTATAATGATAAATGTAATAAATGTACTCGAACCCTCTATTTGAATACTGTGACAGAACATATTGAAAGATACCAAATGTGCAGCAAAATGCTGCCAGGCAGGTACTTCAGCAGAAATCTTCAACCAGGTCCTAATTAAAAAAAGTCATGTACTTTAACTTTTACTGTACTTACCACACACAACACAACCCAGTGGTACTTATTAATTTTACATCACATTTACCTTCTCAGATCAGAGACATGAATGGTATTTTTCATCTAGCCCTATATATTAGTCTCTTCTCCTATTCCTAAAAGGCTTGATATTACTGGTGTAGTGAGCCACACTGTAACTGTCCTCTGCAGTTTGTCCTGAACTGCCCTGACAGTGTAAACTAGAAAGTCCTGACAGATAATTCCCCTGACAGCCAAGTGCGCCCTGCCGCTTTACCTGCTCTGCACCTGATCCAATCAGATTCTCTTTGTTATCCTGCTGGGAGATGCTGCCAGCGCTGCTCTCTGAGAGGGATCAAATGCTTTAACACATGTACACAGTAGCTTATTGTTTGGGCTGAACATTTACTGTACTGTTATTGTACAACACACTTGGTCATAGAGGAAACGGCATAAAAATCTGTAGTTTACTGGTTAAAACACATACTAATGTTGACTCAAAAATCCAATATAGCTTCACTTTTCATGCAATTTTAAAATACTATTAGTATTGTAAAAAAAAAAATACAACATTCATACCAACCAAAGTCTTTGAGGGAATACCTAATTCACTTTCTTAAAATTGAGGATGTTGAGCACCACACAAATGTCTGGAAAACAAATGTTAAATCACTAGGTTTGCTTAGCATACAGCTAAAATGGTAACATACTCACTCTAAAGCTACAACATATAAAATATAACATTTATAATCTTGAAAGATGTTGGTCATGGTGATTGTGTTACATTTGGAAAGAGCATGGCCAATTGATATCGGCTGCTGTCAAGCTTTATGCTAAGCTAACAGGCGTGTGGCTAGAGCCTCATATTTATCGTATAGACATGTGTGGTATCAATCTTCTCATCTCTTGACATCCAATCAAAGAGGTGTAATGTCAAAGTTGTTATGTGGTTAAAATAAGACATTTTACACAGTTTTTTTCTGATTACCTTTGTGTACGCCCGTAAGCCTCCGATGATAAGATCCTACACTGTGTCACAGCCTATAGAACCTCATTGTCCCACATTGTTCCCTGCCAATGTGTTTGCATTGCTGTCTCCTCGTGCTGATGAAATGTACACTTTTGAAATAGCGTGACCTGTTGTCAGTATCGTACTTTAAACTGTTTGTTTTGAGTCTTATTTTTCCCCTTTTTAAGTGTGAATGTGTGTTAAAGAGAAAGTGACATCATACAAGAGCGGAGGTGATTATAAATGTTGTGTGTGCGTGTGTCTAAATGTCTTTCTGTGTTTGTTCACATCTTTTCTTTTTTTTTTTTTGTATGCCATGGTTGCTTCGTTAACAGCTGCCTCAGGTTCCTAGCCTGTGCGTCAGGGGGAGAAACCAGTTTTTTGTTTTGTCAGCCGTAAGCTGACCAACACATGGGTGGGCGGGGGACGACACCAGCATCATATATGTATATACAAACTATATACATACATGACAACCTTTAAGAGTATAGGAAGGTGAAAGAAGACTCAACTCCTGTATTTATTGTTGTAAATCCTCATACAGTGCAAACTGGCAAAAATCTCGAACATGTTTTAAGTTGTCTAATAAAGAAAAATAAACCCTATGTTTAAATATTGCAAGTGATAATGGTAGATGATGAGCAATAATTTAAAACATTCTGTAATCTTAATGAATAAAGATGTAAAAAATTGTAGCTATTTTGAGTGTGTCTCCTTGATTTCTACAAACACAATTAAGCCGCTAAACCAACTTTGTCCTTATGTAGCTGTTTGATATATGTGGTTCCAGTCTGTTTATAAGGGGTTGATTTCTGGGTGGTTGTATTTGTGTGTAGGGGGAAGGGGTGGGGTGGGGTAGGGGGGTTCTTATGTGTGCAGCTGCTGAGGCCTGTCACAGCGACAGTGTGCTCATCTGCAGCCAGCAGCCATCAGAGATGGGGACATCTCTGGCTTCAGCAGCTGGCTGTGAGCCATTATTTATTCTTGACACAAATAAGCATCACTGGGTTAAATGGGTATCTAGACAAATGTTTACCAGGACAGCAGTAAGTTACAGGTCAAAACTTACTTCAAAAGATGTCTTCTGTCTCAACGCTATTGTTTTTTTTCCTCATGAAATCAGTGTGAAAGGTCGAAAACGTTTGTATGTATCGAGGGTTGTTGGAGCATCACCTTGGAGACTGAAGCTGATTCATAATGGAAAATGTTAAAATGCATCATGGAAGTTGTAGGACCTTGTGCTTTTTGGAGCAGGCAATCACTAAAGGTCTGGGTAACTTTTATTTTTTAAACACCCTCTTTACTTTTTGTAAATGTATAAAACAACTTTGGATCACTTAAATTAACATGTTTCAAGCAGTAGAAGTAATAAAAGTTCATGTGATGAGCCTAAGCAGGGACGCTAATTTAGCTCAGTTGGTAGAGCAGGCGCTCAGTCAGGAGCACACAGCCCTTGTTGCGCCGGTCACAGGTTAGATTCCTGACCCTCACGCATTTTAGTGCCCATCATCCCCCACTCTTTTCATTTTCTGCACCTCCATAGCTGTCCTATCCATTAAAACTCAATTTATAATAAATCAATAATGACTCCTTCGAATTTCAAATTCATTGTCATAATTGTCATTACCAAACGAACCAAAAAGAAAAAATATATATTTCTAAATAATTTCTTTCTCTCTTATGATCAGTTGTTTTATACTTACAATAAAACCTGATATACAGGTGTTACATTTTGAACAACTTTAGCAATCTTTCCTGCTAAAATGCATTCACAGATTCTATCGATGTCTTTACACGTTATCTGTTTTATTCGATTTAAAGCTTAGTCAGACTTAAGTCTAAATTGAATAAACCACCACTGAATAATGATTTAATCATGAACTTGCCCCCTCACTCACCCCCCCTGCTGCCCGGCCATGTGCTCACATTCAATCAGAAGCTCATGCCTTTAACTGTACAATCCAATCATGTCACCTTAAGTGGTTTTCGCAGACGGGGGTATGTGTGTCAGCCCCCACCTCCACACTGGTCCTATCAATAATTCACTCTCTGTTCTGGAGGGTGGTTGACAGGAGGTGAAGTGGCTACAGGGGGCCACATTCACCTCTAAATTCAGTCAGATATTAGGATGCTTGCGTATGAACTGTATTTGCTCTGACTGCAGATTGTATGCATGGACAATTTATTATGGAGAAAATCTTGTTTTATGTTCATTGAGTTTGACACAGCTGGTTAGAAACGTCATCAATCAGTTAAAGCTGGTTGTTGGTATTTTGTACCATCTATGGCAGAAACCAAACTATGCTAACTTCAAATCTAAAACGTGATAAACACACAAGGTTAGATACCATGACATATATGGGTCAAAGGAAAAGGCCATTTCAGGAAGAAAGTTTTTATAGAATAAGCATTAGCCACAAACAGGTTAAATAAAAGGCTATGCCTGCACTTTGGCTTAAGGTTAGAAGTTCAGATTTTTAACAGCCTATACATTGAAAAGCATTTTTAGTCATCAGCCTAATGAGGATTAACACAATTTGCCTTCCAACAACAACAAAAAAACGTATTGAGACCAAGTAAGAATGAACATGACAGCCAGCTTACAAAGGTAGCCTATTAGTTGTTTATTGGTTTATTCTGCCCATAAAGGGTTGGTGAGTTTCCACATGATTTAAGCCTACTTTCCTGTTAATATAACCACAATATTTGTAACTAGTTTTCATCTCTCTTTCATTCTAATCTTTTAAATAAGTGATTAACTGCTTTATTTTTAATGCTCAACTTTTACTAGCCTACAGACTTTATCATATCTTTCTCACATAGCCTGCCCCAGGGCCTTATAATATATCTATATTATAATATATCTATATTATAAGGCTCTGCCCTAAACAATATTTTTACATGGATCATGTGGGAACCTTTGGAGGTAAAATCTTTGTATCTCTTAAGCTGACTTCTTTGCAGTAATACATTTATTATTTTATATTGGCTACCATTGACATATTAAACCATCTTTATTGTCAGTGTGTGGCTCCACGTCGTTTTACAATCATGTGCTCTGCTCTGCTGTCATGATGACTCTCTAACCCCGCCCTCTCGGGGCGCGCAGGGACAGCGAACCATAAAGATTGGGGGAGTAACGGCGAGAGGAGGAGGAGGAGGAGGAGGAGATCTTCAACTTGTGCTCCGGAGCCGCCGGTGCTCCTGCTGGTGCGGTGCAGTCTCAGCTCTCAAACCGGACCGGTATGCACTATCCGCGGAGGAGGAAGTGAGCCGCCCCGACAGAGAAAGATGCAGGCGGAGGACATGGAGGTACCTATCATTAATAACCTTATCGATAACGGCGACAGACAGAAGCCGAAAGGGAAAGATGTGTTCAAGGATCAGCAAAAGGAGTCGGAGGTAAATCGCAGAGGTTTTCTCTGTAGAGTCAGCTGCTAACGCGTATATGGCATAGGAGCGCACTGGCTGTGTGTGTGTGTGTGTGTGTGTGTGTGTGTGTCCTTGTACGTGTGTGTGTGTTTGGTGTTGCTGGGGAGCTTTCGGACCAGCTGAATGTCCTTTCTATGCATTGAGTCGCTGTCTTGGCTCGAAAGCATGCATGCAGACAGCCAGGCAGGCAGAGAGACAGCGAGGTGTTATTTTGGCAACCGGCTCCTATAAATAACCCAGCAGTAATCCTACAGCGGTGCTCAACGTGCAGAATGCAGGTGGAGAAATGTGACTGCTGCTGTTAGGACCACACCACCACTACCACACAGATTTCTTTATGTCTAACGACTATGATTTGTTTTTTTTAATTATCACAAAGTATTCTCTCCTTTACAGCATAATATCCTTATCCTGCATTGTTGACATTGGCTTGTGTCCTTGAAACAACTCTGTGTTCTCTGAAATCCAATTGGTCTTGTAGTGTTTAATCATGGATGTCAATAGTTTGCAGGTTAGAGCTTCAAAAAGGCAAAAGAGTTCTTGCTATTCAATCTTTAAATAGCTTTAATTGATCAACATAATACCCCACTGTGGTCTCTTGGCATGGAAACGGAGAATTGTCTTTTCAAACATTTTTTTATAGAAAGTTGTACCTTTTAAGTCCAGAATACTGAACACTATTGATATGACGTAGTTTTACACTGATATTCTTTTCTATTATTGATTCATCTCAATGAATCCTGGATCACCTATTTTGTCTACTACATAATTGAAAATATGGAAACTGGTCACTAAAACATATTTATTAAAACGTCTGTCAAACGAGCAGTCCAAACCCAAATCATCCAATTTAGTATTGTATCAAAAATGAAACGTAGCAAATAATCCCATTTGAAAACCTCAAAAAAACGTCAGAAATAATGAATTGGTTTGCAAATAATTGCAGACATAGGACTAAGATTAATAGACCAATCAGCTGTAGCTAAATCGGTTTAGGTATTGCTATCAATGACAGTTTTTGATTTGGATTCATATCCTCTAATGTCCCATGCACTGAAAAGATTTGCTCTTTAAATCATTAGCTGCCTGCATTATTTCTTTTATCCAATCGAAGAGGCAGCAACCTACCCATAACATTACTTTACAAACAGATCTTATGTGATCAACCCTCTGAAAACTGCATGTGTAGATCTACTCGTCTCTTCCAAATATGACAGCAGCTCAGTTGACGTTCACTCTGATGATGCTCCTCATAGAGCAATGCAGATTTAATTCATCCCCTCATACATTTTCTTCTAAGGTGTTTTCATTCCTCGGTTGCTCAGCCTAGAAACATCAGGCAAGTGAAGTAGTCAAAGCTGTTGTCCAGGCATAAAATCCAGTCAATGATGTGTGTGTTTTTGTTTGGGAATTGGAGCGTATTCATCCCCATGCCGTTTGATTCTAGGACGAGGGCTTGTTGATGGTCTTGGGGGTGGGGTTGTGAACGATACGGACATTGAAAGCACTTAATGTCTGAGCCATGTGTTTAAGTTGAAGCCTTCCAGCCACTGCACAAGAACTGGGCTGGTCTGTCCGCTAAGTTAACCTCATATCTGAGTCAGTCGTGGACGTAAATCGTCTGTCGTTTGCGTTGCAGCCATCTCTCGTCTATGTGGCATATGTTGGGAGGAGTGGGGGTGGCCTGCCTTGACATCCTGCCCGGTGTTTGCACATCGAGAAAAGCTGTGCCAGTTTGGAGCCAGGACCGCTCTCGTTATCAGCTGGCGGCAGAGGGAGAGAAAGGGGGAGACAGCGAGGGGGGACTGGGTGAGAAAATGATGGCGAGGGAGAGGGATCAGGAGAAGCACAGTGTCTGTGTTTCTGCTGACAGGAATTCAAGAAACATGACAGTTGGGGATGTAAAGAGCCATCACTTCAGTTTCAGGGACAAGCTGAGCACCCGGTTGTAACAGTGGGCTCTACACCACGTGGATTGTGCATCGATTTATGCAAAGTAATTGACAACAGCTTTTATTACAGAGTAATCGGCATTAAATCGTTTATCAAGCACACATCCATTGGTTCCATCTGTTCAAAGGTGAATAGTTATGCTGCTCTCGCTTTATATCCTTACTTCTGGAAAACTGAGTCGAATCAGTCAAAAAGTCAGTCAGTAGAAAAGTAGTGGAGCCCGACCGAATAATCAGCAAGCCGATATTAGCATATCCAGTGACCATCGGTTTCAGCTTCTTTTATCACAGATATGTAATATATATACATATATATTTATTCACCAGTCAAAAAGCATTTCATTTGAGTTTCATTGTATTAAACTAGCGATATCTTTGTGGCTGTCACCAGCAGAGTGTCAGGCGTTGATGCACGTTACGTTCCACCTGAGTGACCATCTTCTATTACATGTATTTTCCACAAGTGTTTGATGACTGCATTTGCGGGATCAACACGATAATTGTGTATATCTATGTCTACAGATCTAAGAAAGATCAAAGAAAGATATCGGCCGATATAGTGCTATCAGGTTTCTTCTCGCTCTCTAATATCGGTATCGGACCCAAAAATTCCATATCGGTCGGCCCTAAAAGTAGTAACAAACTATTTTCAATCTATTCATTTAATCATTTTAGTTGTTTTCTTGGCCAATAACTTAAACAATATGCGTAGCACTTTGTGAATAGTGTTATTTGGATTGGCTTTTGGTCTGTTTAATACTACTACACGCTTATATATCTTGGTTTGACAAAATAAAAAAAAGTAGTGATAAGGACTGAAAACCAATCAAAATACAATTATTACAATAATTATTTCAGACTCAATGAATCAATTCATCTTTTCACACACAACTCACACGTTTTCCTCAAAAAGTGGTGCCTGTGCTGCGTGTGTGAACACAAACAGCAGAGTTCTTCACCTGACTGGATTCAGATTGTTTTCCAGAGATTCACAAGCAAGTGGACAGCATGTGTAATGACGCTTATTTCCTCTGACCGCTGCACTTCATACTCATCTGCTCATCAGCATGTTCTCTTCCACTCATTTGTGAATACTATGAATACATCCAGTTACATTCATCATTGATTGATAAGCAAAAGTCGTCGTCTGCCATCTTGGATATTTTGTAAACATTACAGGCTTCTGTAGTGTCCTTTTTGTGTCATGTCTTGCCTGTTGAGAAATTGAATGCAATTTATGATCTAAACAGAGAATCAGTTAATCAAACAGTGATCTACACATTCGCTGTCTTAGCCCTATGATTGAAACAGACTGCTGCATCAGGCAGCAGGATGAATGGGAAGGGACGGCACAGTGGCAGCAGTGGATGAATGTGGGTGTTGAAACATCTGCCTGCAGCACAGATGATAACACACACAACAAGTCTAAGATAGGGTACATATATCTGATGTTGTTCCTCTTGGGAAGACAGTGAAAGCAGACAATGTTTTTATAGAGCAGATTTTATAACCCTGGCTCCACGGGGAGTTCAATTTGATTTGAAGTGAGCACTGATTAGTAGGGCTGTCTCAAGATTCGATTTCAAGTCTTGGGGTCACGATTCGATTCAGAATCTATTTTCGATTTCAAAACAATTCTGGATTCATTGAGCCATTGATTGAAAGTCTAATCCTACTTCAGGATCTACTCCAGTCATCTGTGGGACTGGCTGAATTTCTTGCTGCTCCATTTGGCATTCTACTGAGTTAAAGAGCTAGCCTCAGCACAAAGCAGGGAGTGACTGATTAGCCCCCCCCCCCCCCCCCCCCAAAAAAAAAAAAAATCCATTTTGGAAGTTTTGACTTCTCAGAAGATAAGAATCTTGATTTTTACAAAAAACAATGTTTTCCCACCTCTACTGATGAGTTCTTAGATTGCATTAAAAAAGGCTATTTAAAAATCTAACCAACTCTGTATTCATTAAAGCATGGCCAAGCTTTTCACTAATACCTTTATACTGTGCTGCTAGAGATGGTGTCTTCAATTGGCCTCTGGGAGAAGGATCAATATTGAGTGGTGCCAAAAGCAACACAACATGAATCATGCTCTCACCTGAAAGGCCTTCCTTTTTCCATCTACCCATTACACAATGATGCTTCAGATATCGATAAAGACTGCCACTTGTCTTGAGTCGACTTTCATGAAGATTTCATAAAGAGCTTGTTGCGGTTTGATACACTGAAGCAGCACCTACAGGGCTCACAGGCTTTGCCTCTCACACTCAAAGAGTTATTGGGTGATTCTGTGAATCGGACGCACTCCCGAGTGGTTCTCATTTCCTGTTTTACAACTGCAGTAATGACATCAAATTAAATTTCCTTGGCTTGATGTCATAAACAAACACTCGACTGACGTCTTGTTTATAGCTGGCATTACATGACAGCACCGAGTTGTTTAACCAGGGTAGCTGACTCAGAGCACATCCTTATTTACAGTCCTGGCCCTGGGACAGTTCTCATTGAGTTAAACACATCAAACACTCTGAGCTTAGAGAGTTCCAGTGCTGCCGCGGGGTTCCTTTTAAAAAAAAAAAAAGAAATCTCATTAACTGTAAAAGTGAATCTTTAATCATTTCATCAGTCCACACCCTACACCTACATCATAAAATGCTCCAGTCACCAACGCTAATTCTCTCACTACTATAAAGGTCCAACTTCCCCAGGCATGACCGTGTACCACTCTGTTTGCTGCATCCTATAAGATCATCAAGTTCTTATTGTAACCCATTCATTCTTTTTCTACTGTCCGTTTCATAGCACTACGCTAACAGCAGGGGCGGCTGTGGATCAGGGGTAGAGTCGGTCGTCTCTCAACTGGAAGGTCGGGGGTTCGATCCCCAGCTCCTGCAGCCACCATGGGCAAGACACTTAAGTTGCCAAGTTGGTTGTGTATGAATATGTATTAATGGATTAGTTAATACTTATTGTCCATTTTACATAGCAGCCATCACTGTGTGAATTGATGTGAATGTGAAGGTGTGACCTGCTACACAAGCTCAAGTCCATTTACTATTCACAAAACATGTGCAGGTACAAGTTGACCCTGGACTTTTTTCGCTGTCTTAGTTCAGCGCGTTAGCATGCTTACACCCACTTATAAAGCTGAGCGCAAAGTCATTTGTTTTCAGGACGCTGAAAGTTGAGACCTGATGGTGGCGCTACATGAAAAGGAATCACCAAAGTTATTACAATTAAAATTCATCAGTTATTACAATTAAAATTCATCAGTATCAAATTCAAAGTAAACGTCAGAGGGATTCATCCCCTGGGGATAAAAAAAACCTCCGATTTTATAGCTATTCATCCAATCATTGTTGAGATTACAGAGTAGAGATCAGATGTGGTGGACGACTGACATTTCCACTCCTAAATCAAAGAATCTGTCAATCATAGACCTCTTGTACAGCTAACTATCTTTTATAAACATTTATAACTTGTTGTTTTTAATGCATGCTTCTGATTGGTCAATAGTCTATAGTCTGCTATTTCTGTTTAGCAAAACATACTTGGAAGAACAGAGCATTGCAATGGAGACAGTTCTGATGGAACCTGAGCTTAGGATCATGTCTTGTTCATAGTAATATGTCTATTAGGCTGTTGAACATTTGGCTGAAGATAAAGCAGAGAAAAGGAGAAGAATAAAACACTGCAGAGCTTGAAGACATGACATTTTTTAAGGCCGGTTTATGGAAATGTCAACAGTCTATGAGGTGTCAGAGAAAGCAGTTTTTGTCCCATGTCCTTCAGGGTTTTGAGAATGTTTGAACCCCCGTTTTTAATCTATCTGAAAGGCTAGCGCTCTTCCATCCAGCTACCAACAAATGAGTGGATATTGTGGACATACTGTCGTGCAGAAGGTTGCAGCAGATATTCAGTTGTATGTTGCACGTGAGCGTTTTACAAAGAAACCCTAGTGTGCAGTCATGTGCCCATGCTAATCACAGGTTGAGGCTGAAGTCAGAGCCGAGAGAGACCCTCCGCTCCATGCAGAGGTTAATCTGCTCTTTAACAGAGGCCATGTTAAGTCCTGTGGCCTCCTTTTCCCTCACTTTCTCCTCACTGCGGTTTACTGCTCCGACTAAGTGCCTGGGAGAGCTTGAATCAAGCTACAGAGAGCATGTGTAATTGTGAGTGGATGCTCTCGATTAGAGGGAATGAGAGAAACATTGCGAGTGGCCCGGAGATTTAGCAGCCAATCATACATAGAAAAACACATGATGAGGCGAAAACTGTGAAAGACTCTGAAGAGAGTGTGTGGGTGGTGTGTGGAGTAAAAATGTGTAGGATTGAGATTGCAAACGGAGTATAGACAAGTGGAAGGTGTAAAATGTGAAATGCGTACAGTATTTATCTGTGATAACAGCCTGTGTATTAAACAGCCAGACTATAATGTACATGCTCATGAGTGTTTTTGTTCTTCTCTTCTCAGAGCTCCATGGAGTCTCCAAACTTGGAGTTTGAGTATGGAGACACAGACACTCTGACTGCTGAGCTTTCAGGTACGACTAAGCAGCTTGTAATGTTGTGATGTCTTTCAAAATAATAAGAAAATCATACTTTACACCCAGATCACTGGAACACAAATCTTGCGCACACGCTGCTTCGAGGGCACTTTCTTAAAGTAACCTTTCCAACCAATCAGATTGAGTCATTGGAAAATTGTGCAGTTTGGTCCTCAGACCGGAAAACGAAAACAAACATGTCTAAAAAGCGCTTCATGGTTAATGGACGTGATTCCAGGCACATCCTCGCGGCCCAATTTTGGGACCCGACCCACCAGTTGAGAATCACTGCTCTAAACAGTATATGACACAATATATATTAAATAAACAGTCAAATATATTTATTGAGGCTGCACACACTCATGGCTGTCTCTGTGTTGTTTTAGCACACACTTCTATCTTAAATGTGATTCGTCATGTGCTGTGGTGAAAAAGTGAGGCTTGATTACTTCTTTGAGTCCGTCCTCTGTACCCTCTCTGTATGTAAATGAGACTAACGCCTAAAATGATGAAAGGTTGTCATATAAGACTCCGGATTAAACTCACAGAATTCCTACAGGAACATTTCTACTTAGCATACAGGCTACAATGTGCTATTGATACAAAAAAGCACTCATCTGCATTCCTCAGGATGTTTCATCTGTTTCATGTTACAGTGTTATTCCTTAAAACAGGACAATAAGATGAGGATCCACTGTGGAGACCACAGAACAAAACCCGGTCCTAACATAGGACACGTTGTGTGACTAACGTCATGAGTAATCCTGAACACCAGAATTATACATTCAGAACTGCCTAGCATCTGTGTATCTGGGAACAGCTCATGTGTGACTGCAAGCTCGGTGTATGAGTGCCAAAAAGAAGATGAATGACGTCATATTGGGCGAAAAAAAGAACTCAACAATACAAACAGATGAGAGTCCTCATCGGTCAAGTACTGTTTTTATTTCCCAGTCAGGTTAAGTGCAGAGAGAATCGTTGAATAATGACATTGAAGTCAAAATGATCGTCCTCGTGGTAGATTGCAAGTAGCAGCTGAGTTTCAGAGATTGTTAGTCACACTTGAAACAAACAGATATTTACAGCAGCTGTGTAGCGACAGCTCCTCGGGGGGGTCAAAGAAATGACGACTGTTCTCAGAAGGTGTGACGGATCGTTGGACTGTTCATGAAACACATGAGATCACTTCTAAGGAGACAGGAGCTCTAATTTTGTCTGTTTGTATTAGACCATGGACCTGTCTTCTGCTTCTGTTCAAAACATTTGATAACTTTTCTCTCGTAACTACTCAACTCCTTTTCCTGTCTTGGTTCCATTCTTTTGTATTCCGACTGTCTGTTCTATTTGTTTCTATTCTGCTCTACTGTAACTGTTCTATTGTACTCTCTTTGCTTGACATTTAAACCGTCATACATTTGTGAAACATGAAAAAAAAAGCCAAGAAAAATCTGAGAAGCTGAACTTGAGAATGATGCTTTTCATTAAAAATGACATTTATGATTCGGACGCAAAAAAATATTTGCAGCGTCTTTCAGCGTTTTTTCCTCGATTCATATATAAGCTGACTAATTGTTTCAGTTCTAATTTTTGCTGATGATATTCTGCCCACAGAGCTCTACAGTTACACAGAGGAGCCGGAGTTTGCCCTGAACAGAGACTACTTTGAGGAGGACTTCAGGACCCATGGTACTGTATTTTGTTTCTGTGTGTGTTTGTGTGTTTTGAGGGGATGCTGAGATCAGGGGCTTTGGTGTGTTTAGATTACCTGGAGACTTACCAGTTATGTCGTTACCTTCTGTCACTGTCGCATCGGGAGGGTGAAAGAATGAGATGTTTGCTGTGTGTGTGAGACTCAAATTGGGGTCACAGATACACACACACACACACGACTCCACCAGGACCCTTCTTTGCTGTGCGATATCAAACACAAAGCATACAGCCAGTAGACTGCGGCTGCTGCCTGCTGTTGCTGTTGTTTATCGCAGAGACCTTGACGGCTCCTCCGACAGCTCCTGTGTCACTGATGACTGTCAGAACAGTACAGAGTCCTTTTGTGCAACTCTGAAAGACCTTTTTTGACTCGAGGAAACAGCGTCCGTTTGATCTGCACGATGGTGAAGGTTAACTGCGCAAACATTTCTTACACGCAAACACACGAGTAAAAGTGTTTGAAGGGATCGACAAATCAACCGAACTAATAGATGCATAATTCTCATGATACATCAGTCAGCATTAGAATGCAGTATTTACCTTTGAAGGTTGCGCAGCGTTAGTCAATGTCGGCTTCTTTGTGAAAATGCTAACGTTAGCATACGCTTAAAATAATAGTGCTACATAGAACCATAAAGGGTTCTTCAACTTGTACCCATAAGGGGCTATTTATGATCCCTGGTGGAACCATCACACCATTAAAAAAAAAAACAAAGGAAAGAACAGAACAGGTTACACACGAGAGAGAAAGCTATAGAGGAGAAAAACTAACTTGTAATCATACCGACTTGTATTACAGATCTCCATTTAACGGTCACCATTTATTCTCCTTTTGTCTCAGTTTAAATAAGTCCAACATTTTGATGAAGTTTCTTATTCTAAATCCACTGTGAGCTTGTATTTATAACAACGATACCTTTAAACCCCTCACAAACACCACAACATGCTGTTTCTGTGTCTGTAGCTTTAAATGCAAATTCTAGAGGGGTGTGTTCGTCCACACAGAACCAGCTTTGTGAGCTTCCGCACATTACTTAGATTTAGATGGTGTTTTAGTTTTTTACTCAGAACCCGGCTCTAGAGCGACTACCATGGATCCGTTACACTTTTCCTTCCAGTGTTAACATGAACCCACTGTTTCCGCTGATTCTGCACGTTACGAGAGAACATCTGTTTTCTTGTCTGGTCTTAATCCAAATGAATTGGAAGTGGAAATGCAGAAGCACGAGTGTTGTGTTTTTTTTTTTCCCTGTTCTTCTTTCTGTAGTTCGGTTCAAGCTGTGGTCAGTGGGAGTTTTGTTACTCAAACAGAGGTCGTCATAGTGCAGTCAAAGTTAATCCAATCCTAACGTTCAGAGCATTCAGAGCCAGAGCAGCTCACCATGCACACATCAGTAGCTGAATTAAGACTTATTTATTTAAAAAAAAACTCATCAAATCAGATTCTTCTCCCTTTATTACATAATCACCGTTTTTTTAAATGTAAATCCAACAGTGGTGACAAAACCATTTCCCCTATCCAGATCTCACATCATTCTTTTTAACCTCACACATAAAGTATAGCGGGGGATTTGTTTCTGTTTCAACACCGTTCAGCTCAGTGGTCTCACCTCTGAATAGGGCTGTAGGTTGCTTCCCGTGTGTATTTTGTTTGAAGCCCGGCTGACCAGCCACATCAAAGCTCTGCTCTTTAAAGCTGTTCAAAGAGTGACGACGCCAAGAGATACCGAAAGGAGGTCCAACCCTAATCCAAACCATATGATGAGCAAAGCAGCAGTTATTTCTACACCTGATGGGGTCTTGTTTGGCTTTGAGACGATCAAGCCGTCTCAATAGCTCAGTATTTGCTGATTCTGTTAAATATTCCAAAAAGGAGAAAATAAACACATCAAAACGCCATGTTGATCATTTCTAACCCATCGCAAATCTCACACTGACACTAAACAAAAAGCCATGCAGGTCTCAAGTCATTGTTGTAGACGTTATAGACAAAAGAGCTTCTTTGCATCCGCTCCGAGAGAGATACGAGCTTCACCCTCTTCATCTGTCACCTCCTCTCCAAAACTGAGTGGTAATGAATAGTGGGATTTAGATGAGAGCCTCTCTGGCTGCTGTTTTAAAGAGATAGAGCTGCCTCTTTACATCACAGCCTTTTCATTAGTGTGTGTGTGTGCTGAGCAAGCACTGTATGTAAGATGTGTATATGTTGTGTGTGGGGTGTATGTTTGTGTGTGCATGTTTATGTCAGAGCTTTTATCATTCTGCACACCATTTTTTCCTACCATAATACATAAAAATCCAAACTCTAATCACTGTGATTATGTCAAAGTGTCTAATTTAAGCTCTTCACAGAAGGGAAAAACAAAAACGCTCTTTTTGGGGCTGGTGCTGTGATTAGAAAGCATTTTTCCATCCTGATTAAAGAAGACAGCGCTTGTTAGGCTACATTAAGTCTGAGCTTCGCTGATCATGATGATCTTCCGCTGCTAAATGTCTATTACTGTCTTTGTAATTATCACAACGTCTGAGAGTAGAGGACTGTGAAGGGTGGGCATGCATCTCCTTCAAAATGTTGGGGTTTTTTTTAAAAGTATTTTTGAGATCTACTTCATGTAAGACTTGATAGATTGGTTTCTAATTGACTCAGTTAATGACTGCTCTGTAACACTATTAAAATCTAATAAAAGATTAAAGTAGCAGTCGTTCTCTTCATCTACACACACTGTAACATGACTTCTCTGAAGATCCAGGTCATGGAAACAAGTTGAATTCTAAAGTGGTTAAATACACCATGGATGGACTACTTGCTCTGGTATGAACAGCTTACGGTGGCTTAAGTTTGTAAATGTTAGCGAACATAAGCTAAATGTTGCTCACTGGGTTAGTAAGTCTATATCACACTTGTTCTGCTGTTTGAGTGACTTAGCATCTAAGCTGAATGGTAAACAGTTTGTTAGTTTTAACTACACAGCTTAACACACGTTGAGTCAGAGCTTTATCTGCATGTCAACCACTGTGCTTTAAGACAAACCATATAATCTAAATGAGCCAAGTGCCCGGTCTGCTAGCAGTTATACAGCCAAATATACACATTAGTCCTGTGGCCGTCACTGTCTTGTCAAAGGCAGAGGGAAAAAAAGTGTTTCTGAAAATAACCTGGCAGGCTGTGTCATGTCCTTCCTGCAGCTCGAGGCAGGAGGTGGATCGAGCTGACGGTGGAGGAGCAGCGGGCCTATGTGATGAGGCTGCTGGACGCGCTGGAGGTGACGGACAGAGACAAGAGGCTGAAGGTGGCACGGGCCATCCTCTACCTGGCTCAGGGTACGTAGGCCTAAAACATTACGACCACGGTAGATGATTTGGTACATTCATAAAACCAAACTCCAAAATATAAAGTGCAAAACAGCCTAAAATCACACCTTTGGCATGTTGCATGTTTTTTTTTTTTCCCCCCCAGGAGTGTTTGATGAGTGCGACACAGAGGTGGACGTGCTTCACTGGTCCAGACATAATGTCTTTCTGCTCTACGATATGGGCATCTTCACAGCACTGCTGGAGCTGCTGAGCATGGAGATAGAGTAAGTAGATATCCTAGAAACGTTGAGTCATTAAACAACTGTACTGTACATTCAGGGGGGGAAAACTGCTAAGTCATCATAAGTTAATGAGGAAATCACAACTACCTCTACTTCCACACGATCAACAAGTCAAGCTTTTGTCTTGAATTTGCTCGATAGGACAAATGACCTGCTGCTCCTCTTGTATTAACTATATAAAGAGCATTAAAGAATCGCACATTAGGGGCAATCAAAGCCTTAGAAAGAGAGACAGAGCTTCTTGTGCGAAATAGTTCTTCATACCTTCTTGAAAATGCTTTTTCTCCTGAGGCTGAGGGTTTGAGGCAATACAGGAAGGGAGGAGTCTGCTTTTATGATTCAGAGATAACGGAAGTCCTAACACTAAAATCCACAGTTCTTTCATTGGCAGAAGAGTTGCATCGTGGTTGTCATGTTACTGAAAGGTCGTAGACTGAAGTCCTGAGAGCCTGTGTATTTCTCAAGCTTAAAAGTTCAACCTTTTTCTTTTGTCTAATAAGCCCTCTGGTGCCTAAATGTATCAACACTGCCCTCCCAAGTCCTCCAAAAAACCCCTCTTGTGCAGAGAGAGGTGCTCACTCCAGTGTGAGGAGGTCTGAAGGAACAGAAAGCCATTGAGAGAAACAGAGAAGTGCAGAAAACACTGTTTGTGAGCCGCACTTCAAAAAAAAAACCCTCCACCGAGTACTACAGTACAGCCGCAGACTCCTCCAAGTTGTTTGTTTTGCTTCTGGTGCCAGCCGCAGTTGGGATCCAGTGCTTCTTCTTTGTTGTTATGTAAGCTGCTCTGGGGCATCATGGCACAGTCTGGCCTCTCACCATGCTGCGCAGCAAAGCAGTGTGAGCAAGCTATCAGAGAAACACACACACACATGGCGGTTTACAGGCTATTCTACCGTATGAATATGAATGTGATGAATGCAGGCAAAATGCACTACATCAGAAATGTGAGTGTGGTTGTGTATGTTTTAAAAGCTCTTGAGTTATCTTGGATTATTTGATTGTACTGTATATGTGCGCAGACTGTCTTTATGTCAAATAAAAGAAGACAATTGTTTATTTGTGTTTTTGTGTCTGCAGTAACAACCAGGCGTGCAGCAGTGCAGTGAGGAAGCCTGCCATCTCTCTGGCAGACAGCACAGAGCTCAGGTGAGCAATATTTCACATTTCCTTTCATAAAATACAGAATACCGGACTACTGTGCACAGGTACTTTCTAAGTCTTGATTGGATGTCTCCCATTGTGCTCTTTAAAAAAAAATGTTCTTCTTTTCTAGTTTCCACGTGCTCTAAAGCAGCCAATTTCTGTTCCAGTCATTTTCATTCATCTTTGCCTCCCCTTAATGGAATTGATTTTTTTTTTTTTTCATATACACACATTAGACACACACACACACACACACACACACACATGCAACAAGGCCCTCGTCTGGGCATTCCCTTGTTGACACTTGTAAATAATTACAGCCTAGAGGAGCATGTTTGTACTAATTGCTGCCAGTGAATTGAAAGCCGCTGTAGATGTTCTGAACTAAAGGAGGGGCCTTGTTAAGAGAACAAAGCATCTAATGAACGAAACACCACAATGTTAATGAGCGGCGCGTTTTTTCCCGGCAGCGCACAGGAATCATTTCCTCATTGTTAAATGCACAGAGTGACTTCCTTTTCTGCGTCTTGCACTTAAAAGTTCAATTGTTGCTCATCGTGCTGTTTATCATATTATCGACTCGTCTATTTGCAGACCTTTTTCCCCCCGGGCCATTATTATTGCTTTAGGCAGCGATTAAATGCTTTCCTCACTTGTGTTTGTTTTCATTGCAGAGTGCTACTGAGCATTATGTACCTGATGGTGGAGACCATTAGAGTCCAAACGGAGGACGACAGGCCTGAGTGGAGAACAGCCAGAGAAGCCTTTAAGAATGAGCTGGGTGTGTGTATGTGTGTAAAGACAAATATAAGACAAAGACAAAGTCGTGTGAAGTCATAATTGTGTTATTTTGCGCACACACACACACACACACACACACACACACACACACACACACACACACACACACACACACACACCAGTTATTGTTCTATCGAATAATACAGACAACAGAGCAGAGTTGGTTCTGTCATAACAGATGCAATTATTTGACCTTTAACCCCTCAGGTTCACCTCTTTACAATGGGGAGCCCTTCGCCCTGCTCCTCTTCACCATGGTGACCAAGTTCTGCAGCATGAACGCCCCGCACTTCCCCATGAAGAAAGTACTACTTCTGCTCTGGAAGACGATACTGGTTAGCACATTTCAACCATTAAACCGTAATGTGCTTTTCTGCCCCTTTTCTGTGCTTCTGCATTGCACATTCATTACTAAGTTCCTACTCTTCCTAATGCTGTAACTGACAAGAATGCATCAAAAGCATCTTATGAACTATTTTTCAAATCTTTAAAAACCTCTGTAGAATTCATCCCTGGCTGGCTACTGTACTCTTCCTGAATCCTCTGGTCATGTCATGCCTGTGAATCATTGTGCTCCTGTGTCCGTCCTTATCCTCTAGTTCACCTTGGGGGGCTTTGAGGAGCTTCAGGAGATGAAGGTTCGAGGTCGGGAGCGTCTGAACCTGCCTCCACTCCCAGAGGACAGCATCAAGGTCGTGAGGGCCATGAGAGCAGCCTCTCCTCCAGCCTCCGCCATGGAGCTCATTGAACAGCAGCAGCAGCAGAAGAGAGGACGCCGAAGCCGCAGGGTACCGAACCCACCCACCACCCACACACACACACACACACACACACACACACACACACACACACACACACACACACAGTCACACACATTGGCCACATTCAGAGAGCTTATTTGAAATGCTACCCCTGACTAATTTTACCATTACTTGCCTTCTTATAGGTGAACAACTTATTCTGTAGAATTCCTCCTTTAACTCACCCTCTAACTGTTTGCTGGGTGACTTTTTTTTCCCTGCAGTTCTGAAGCGCAAACATCGCTGGCTCTCTGCTGTAAGTCAGTGATCCCGGCGATGAAACTAGCGCTGGGTGGGCTTTGAGAATTCAAAGCGTGTTGTTTTTACTAGAGCTTATTGACTGGACAGGCTTTCTCTCTCTAATTGCCCTCTGGTTTCTCATTGCCCCTCTTCCTTGTGTCCCCACAGAGTGCCTTTGTTGATAGCTTGGAAGGAGACAGTCCCTTTCCCAAGAAGCAGGTCTTTACCCACAAATTCCCTTTTTTTTTGTTTCCTCTTGCATTTTTTTACTCTGCATTGAGCTGGACTTTAAGCACTCCTCTCCCACCTTCCCGACACCTTATTTCTCCTCTCTCCTCTTTCCTTCTTTCCTTTCTCACCCTGTCATTTAACCTCATCCAATCATCATCCTAAGATGCACCAAAATCAGGAACCCTATATAAGATGCCAGACACCGTACCCTCCCTGCGTGACGACAAAACAAATTTGATAAAGAATAACTTTTTCAACACTATTTGACTCTATATACGATTTATATGTTATACTAACACAGTTTGTTGCTTTATAAAATCCATCAGAACACCTCAGTTGTTCCCAGTGGTTTTGGTGCAGTCCTATTCATTTCCGAAGTTTAACATTTGGGAAATACACTTTTGCTGCAACTTTGTTTTGAGAAGACAGATTCCATATTTGTATCTCTAATTATATGAAGCTACTGCAAGCTGCCAGTTAGCTTAGCATAGCACAAAGACTTAAAACCGGGTATCACAGTTAGCGATTTGCAGTTATATGCTGGTCTCGTTTTGAGCAGTGTGTTTCCCAAATGTGAAACTAGTCCTTTAAATAAACCATTTTAGGCCGCATGTTTTCTTTCCTTCTTCTCTTTTTGCCTCTTCTATTGTGTCTTTCCTTAACTTCTACTTGCTGTCCTTCCACTTTCCTTTATTTCAAACCATCATCCAAACATTTCCTCCATTTCCCCTAACACTTCCTGATCCTCTTAATTTTCCCTCATGTTCTCCTCTACATGTTTTCCCTCTTTTTTTCTTTCTTAATACCCCCGCCTCTTTTCTTCCCTCCCCTTCTCCTCTTAGGCTTACCCCCATCATTTCCATCACCCTTCTCCCACCTCATCATCCACTAACACCTCACACTGTCTCTCCCCTATCTCTTTCTCCTCTCTCCTCTTCCTCTTTCAACTGTTCAGTACTGGGGGGGGGGGGCTTGAGAGACAAGGCTGACTTGCTGGCTTTTGTCATTGGCCACTCTCCACAGTCCCATAAAGGCAGTCACGTCAGACATCTACCGTAGTAGCATCTCCCCTGTAGTTTTCATCACATCGCTGCTAGGTTTGGCCTCAAAAATCACCTCGCAAAATCACCGACTCTGGACTAGGGGTCAATATCCTTAAAATGCATTCATTGAGGAGGAGAATCGAGATCTGAATAAAGATATTATCTCGTCTGTGGGCTTTGGGTTACAGTTGATCTCTCTCTTAAATGGATGTCATTGAAAGCGTTTGTCCCCTAACCCCGATAGATAAACACTAGCTTTACCTCCCACACAGCAGTGAATGGCTTCTCCATAGAGAATGGCTCTCAACACGGTTTCACCTCTCCCTCCCTCCCTCCTTACCTCCCACCGTACACTCACTATACTCCTCACTTAGTCCAGCATTAGAAGTAGCCTTGGCGCACCATACGTCGACTGCACTAGCTCTGATAATGTTCTGATTCATGCCTGATGCTTGCACTACTGCCACAGTCATTCATCGGAGACATTGTTTGGACTGAGATACTTTGTGTGTGTGTGTGTGTGTGTATGCTTGTGAATGTGTGTTATGCACTTGAACTGGGTTTGTTTGTTTGTACATAAAAAGCTACATATAAAGTCTAAGTGTTATTGGACCATGCTTGCATTTTTTGCATTTTGAAAAAAAAAACAGTCTGTGTTAAGTCAAATCAGGAACGTTGCTTGTGGTTGCTGTGGAAATCTGTCCTTTCTCTTCTGCTTTGAGAAAATGTATTTTAATTGAATTTCCCTTCCCAGGGATTTGATTATTCGCAGCTTTGAAAAGGTTACAGGTTGTTGTTTTTTTTTAAATACTAATGCACTAAAGAGATTATTTAGTGATCAACACTGCTTTTTCTAACTTTGACGCTGGAGCTAGGAGACAGTTAGCTTAGCTTTGTGCAAACTGAAAACCTGGAGAAACGACGAGATCATGTGACTCCTAGCCAAAGCAGTCTTTAAAAGTGTAATTGATCATCTGCTCGCTCTCTCTCTCTCTCTCTCTCTCTCTCTTTCTCTCAGCCTTTGGTCAAGCAGGACAGCCTGGACACCTACAACGAGCGCGACCCGTTCAAGAACGACGACGCCCGGGACGAGGAGGAGGACCCCGAGGACACGGACAGCGGCATCGAGGGGGAGGTGGACCCCATGGACCGTGATGTCATCATCCAGCCGCCGCCTCCTCCGCCTCCCCTCAGACCCCCCACAGAGAGGGTGAACTTCCCCAAGGGTCTCCCATGGGCCCCTAAAGTCAGGTTAATTGCACAACTCTCGATCCTGCACTCTGTTTGTGACTCGCATAATCAGAGTTTCAGAAACTCATTTCAGGATAGACTACACTGTAGACCATCCCGAAAGTCAGACAAGACCATTTGACAAAGATCCTGGATACAAAACAACATTCAAAACAGCTCAGCTCAGACGTTAAAATACAAAACTTATACTGACACTCATTACTTCAGCTGGCTATAACAATGCCTGCTGAATTTTATGAGTTTAAAAGCACTTATTTTTTAAGATGAATCCTCCAAATGAGGGTTGGCCACGTGCCATTTTGACCAGTGAAGTGGAGAAAACTTCCCACCCACAGCCAGAGCTTTACACCATTTGGCCGTCAGCTGGTGTCAGCCTCCCACCCTGATTCTCTGCCACCATTTGCAAAGTTACAGGACAAATTTAGAAAACTCTCTCCCGGCTTTTCTCTCTTCACCCTCATCTCACAATAAGCTCTCCATCTGTGTATCCTGGAAAGAAGCATGTGTGTCTTCCCAGGGTGCTGCCGCCTCTGCTTTGGGGAAATGAATAATGCATCTCAGGGAGGACACAAACACTCGAGCGGTCCATTTATCATGCATTTATTATCAGAGAACCTTATCATTGAGTGAGTTCGGCTCGGAGAGCTGCATCACACGGGGCTGATTAAGTGTCGATCAGTAGGAGGCTCTGAACCCTCCACACAGCGTGACTGATGAGATTTGAGAAAGCTAATGCAGCGTGCTGTGCTCCTGTGCTTGTTTGTGTGGGTGTGCGCGCACATGCAAGCGCCTCCTTTTGAAATGGCTGTTTAACAGCGTGTTGATGTGCAGAATCTTTGCAGCAGGTGTTTTCAAATGACTCTATAATCTGACTGCAGTGTGTGTGTGTGTGTGTGTGTGTGTGTGTTCGTGGTTATGTGTGTGTGTGTAGGGAGAAAGACATCGAGCACTTCCTGGAGACGAGTAGAAACAAGTTCATCGGGTTTACCCTCGGAAAGTAAGTGTGATTTTGAGAATATAAAAAAAAAAAAGCCCTTAATGTATTCTCCTTATTTTAAGTCTCGTGTTATTTTCTTGTAGTGACATAGAGACCCTTGTGGGCTTGCCCCGACCCATCCACGAGAGCGTGAAGACTCTTAAACAGGTGAGTGGGGACATCCACGTATGTCTAGATCTTGTTTTTCACACATGGAAACAGGTTACAAAGTACTAGATAATTAGGCAAATCAAGGTATTTGACATAAGGACAAGATACTTGAGTCTAATCAAAGTACATGCACTCGGTAAAGAAACCCCATGCAGACCACGCCCCCATTCCCCACTGACAAGCTACTCTACCAACCACGTGGTCCCTACTTTTCCACCACAATCCAAACAGCACCACCACTTTTCAACAGACCCATCCTCCTCTGCCTGTGTGAGCCAGCCCATGCAGCGACAACGCTTACACCACTCAACCCCAACGCAATGTAGACCGATGGGCAGCAAGAGCCAGGACGCCACCAGGGCCCCGTACAGTGTCAGCCCTGGGAAGGCTGAACAGCTAGCCCTGACTGTTGTACTCATACTAAAGCGCAGTGTTTTCCAGAGGGGGGCCACTAAACAGACAAGACCAACAAACACATGTGTCATCTGCTCTGATTCGTCCACGTTCCCTCCAGCCGCATAGCTCAGTGCCAGTTTGTTTGAATTTCACAAACTGAAATGATCACCAAGCAAATCAAACTTTTTTTTTTCCCCGGCAGAAGTCTCTCCAGGTCTGAGAGAGAATTCTTAGTTTCCAAGGCTTTCAGCCACATGACTTTCTCAGATATCTCTCAGGCTTTTTTTTTTTTTCTTACTCCACCATCCCCGTTTCTTAAGGTCCTTCTTCTTTCTCCCCATATTTTGACTCATTACAGCCAAAGAGTTTTTTAATCAATAACCCCCCCCCCACTGCTGAGACCCCTGACATTGACATCCCACTTACTCCCTCTTAACACCTTCATATACTGTCCATGTAGTTATAAATACATTTTAGAGTCATGAATTCTCTTCTTATCTCCAGCACAAATACGTGTCCATTGCTGAAGTCCAGATTAAGAGAGAGGACGAGCTGCAACAGTGTCCGCTGACTCTGGTTAGTAATGTCAACATAACATTTTTAAAACACATGATTTTCCTAAACATGAATTGATGAGTAATGGGGACATTTCATGGGATATTTATGTGATTTAACCACTCCTTTTTTTTCCCTCCTGAAATGTGTGATGAATTTATCTTATTTAATGTTTGTGTGCTTGATTGTCCGTGTGTATTGTTGTATAGGGCGAGGAGGAGGTGGAGGAGACGTCAGCCGAGATGCTCTACCTGGGAATGCTTCCTAACCTCTCCCAGTATGTGGTGAGTGGCCCATTGGCAATATCCATCCATACGGTCACCTGACTGAAAGAAATCACACTGTTTTGCTACCAAATTGCCTTTTCATTTTCCCTCTAAAGACCACCTTTGAATCAAGGAATCCGCCCAAGCTGTACCTCTTACATGTCAAAACATAATAGATCCCAAACTGGGCCTTTGGTTTTAAACCTGTGGCATCATTCCCTGTGTCAGATTGCCCTCCTGAAGCTGCTTCTGGCTGCAGCTCCAACCTCCAAAGCTAAAACGGACTCCATCAACATCTTGGCTGACGTGCTGCCCGAGGAGATGCCGTAAGTACTGCGGAAAGATCGCCGAATAGGTTACACATCATGGTGAGATGTCAATGCAGTCTCTTTGAGCCACACTTCCAGATAAAATAAACGCAACCTTTCACCTTTCACAGCTGCTGTTTATTAAAAAGCCATTTATAAATAAAATAAAGTTTGAAAAGTGAGCTCTGAGGAAGTCAAAGTGTTCCATGCGCATTTTAAGCCCGGTATTTCGTAATTTATTAGCTTTCCTCTCATTTTGATAAACATTATTTGAATAAAAATACACTTTCTTCTTCTTTTTGCTCTGCGTTGTGGCCTAGTTTTAAACAAACGGACACACCAGAGAGCTGAAAGACAGTCTCCATGTCAGGAATAGAATAGAAACAACACAAGTGAAAACATTCCGAACCCTGTCTGACATTTCCGGCCCCTGAGATCTGTGTTTTTTCCGCTTGTTTTGATGTTGCGCCCGATGAGCTCGCTGTTGTCGTTTGAAAAAAACCTTGAATGCACCATCAAAGACTTAGCAGATGATCTGGTTGTTTAGAAAGGACCGAGAACAGTCGGTTTTCTTCATGGTTATGTTTTTTTTCCCCTTCTTGAGAATAAACTGTATTGTTATTCGAGTGTTGAAGGCCTCACAGTGTTTTTTTTGTTTGGTTTTTTTTAATGTGTGTGTTTGTGTCGCCTGCAGTATCACAGTCCTTCAGAGCATGAAGCTGGGGATTGACGTGAACCGCCACAAGGAAATCATTGTCAAGGCCATCTCTGCTCTGCTGCTGCTGCTCCTGAAACACTATAAACTCAACCACATTTATCAGGTACACACACACGTTCTCTCTCTCTCACACACACACACACACATATCTCCCTCTTCCAGGCACCCCACATCACCTACTTTCTCTCTTTTTACATTATTCTCCTTTTTCTCTATCTCATCCTCCCCCTGCACACTAATACACTAATAACCCTGCACCCCCCCCCCCCCCCATGCTACCTCCATTACCCTCCACATGATTATACGGTCAACCTTGCCATTACTTTCCTGCTTTCATCCTCCTCCCCACCCCCACCTTTGACCGCCCATCACCCCCCCTCACACCTCACAACCTCCGTCACACTCCCACTCCGGTGCTCATTCAAATGCAGACAGGAAAAAGGGTCCAAGGACAGCATGTGGTCCAAAATCACATATTTTGTTTACATGACGTTTGCATTATTTCAAGTTGATTGTGCCACAATTCAGTGGGATGGAGGCATGTTTTGTTGCCAGGAGGAGGATCTTGTAGATGGAAAACATTGTCCTGGTTGAATCAAATATCCCATTGGTTAGCTGAACAGTGTGTGGACCCTTTTCATTTCTCTGCAGTTAGTTTATATTTCTTGTTCTCTGCCTGTGTGCATTTTGCCTGGATGTGCGCACACGTTCGCGTTTTTCTCTGTAGTGGTGCCAGGAGGGGCCATTCCTTCACACTCTTTTTATTAACTGCCTTGTACAGTCACAGAGTCACAGAGTCATAGTGGCAGCGCCCTCTGCTGCTACAATAGGAGATTGCATGCAGATTGAAATAAATAAAAAATGAAATAATGAAGTTTTGTGCATTATCTGACTGCCTTACAACACTGTATTTAAACACCTGGACTTTGATATATATATAATGACATACAAAACATTGTTAATATATCCCTTTGCAAGCAGCCTCTGTCAATACAACACAGAAATATAATTTCCAGCTGCAGAATTTCTTCTGTTTTTAATCTTGGTAAAGCTTCTTGAATGAGGTGAAGGATTTATAGAGAAATCCCTCCCGGTTCTTGACCTTTTTTTGTCAATTGGGAAACTCATCAATGATGGGGGATTATTGGCTTCAGGATTTAGATTTAACCTCGTCTATTCTTTCTTCAGATGTGGATTTTCCTCTCCAGGGTTTGTCAAGTCAGCTATATATTCTCTCAGTCATTGTCATGTTCTCTCTTTCATTTAAAAAGCATTCTAAGTAAGAATCACAACTAAAAAGCAGACGTCTATAACTTTCTTTATTATTTTATTACACTTTTAGTTGTTTGTCTTCTCCAGACTGTCAGGCTTTCTACCTTTTACACATTGCTGCCTCTTCTTCTTTCCCTAAAGTTTGAGATCGTCTCCCAGCACCTGGTGTTTGCCAACTGTATCCCACTCATCCTCAAGTTCTTCAATCAGAACATCATGTCATATATCAGTGCCAAAAACAGGTAAGAGCTTCCTCTTTTACCCCATACTCCCACCAAAACACTACACTTCTTCTATTTCACATTTTATTAACAGAACAAAAAGACTCGGATGGTGCAGGTCAGGAGACAGAAAAAGTGTAGTATCCTGCCTTCAGTTTTTGTTTGTGGGCCTTCTGATAAGAGTAATAACATATCGAATACATTGTGCATGGATGCAATTTTGCATGAATGAAATGTAGGCTATCAGGGGGTGTCACAGATGGCCTCACAGCAGTGATGCAATGACAGGAGATTCAGGGGTGAAGGGAATGAGATGGTAGTAGGTGCAGAGACAAAGCCGGTCTGCTTTAGCTCAGGGACAGGATGAAGTAAAAACAGTACATTTCATGTAGGATACACGTCTGTCTTTGTGCGTTTGCATTGCAGTATATGTGTGCTGGACTTCCCCCACTGTGTGGTGCATGAGATGCCTGAGCTCACCGCAGAGAGCCTGGTGAGTCCAAACATGAAATCTGACTGACGGTCAGCTAGTAGAGTAGAATGATGTCATTTTTGAACTCATTGTGTATTTTTGTATCTGTGTTTGAACTTTAGGAAGCAGGCGACAGCAATCAGTTCTGTTGGAGAAACCTGTTTTCTTGTATAAATCTGCTGAGAATATTAAACAAGCTGACCAAGTGGAAACACTCCAGGACAATGGTTAGTAACTCTGCACTGCTGTGTGAAGCCTTTCACTGCTTTAGGACAGAATTTCCACCGACCATATGCCTATGGAAGACCACAAGGCTCCAGAGTGCTCCTGCAGTGACCTCTGTTCCCCTTTTCAGATGCTGGTGGTGTTTAAATCTGCCCCCATCCTGAAGAGAGCTCTGAAGGTGAAGCAGGCCATGATGCAGCTCTACGTTCTGAAGCTGCTTAAGATCCAGACTAAGTACCTGGGCCGCCAGTGGAGGAAGAGCAACATGAAGACCATGTCAGCCATCTACCAGAAGGTCCGCCACAGGCTCAACGACGACTGGGCTTATGGAAACGGTAAACTGGGGATCTGCAGAACCAGAACCAGAATCAGGAAGTGTTTAAGAAGTTGACATGGCATTTGAGTTATGTCATCACAGCATCAATGAGTCCGTTTTATGCCAGAAAGCAACAAATATATGACAGGCTTCAGTTTGAGTTTTGATTGCATTTTTTTTAAGCTGAACTTTTTGTGGGCTGGGGATAACTAAATTACAATTTCCACAACAGTATACGGGAATGAACTTAAAAGTCAAAAACATCACTAATTAGAGTACAAAGAATAATGAAATGCAAAATAATTAATAATAGATTAATGACAATACTGTGATCAACTAAGTCTAATTTGAATTTTTTTGGAAAGATAAAAGATAGGTATTCGGATAGGAAACATTCTAAATGCTGATTTTACAATACATAGTAGATGTGTACATGTGTGTGTTGTAACATATCACTTTGTATGAGAGCTGTGTGGTGCGACATACAGCCAATTGGGAACAATCTAGAGTATGTTGCCATAGAAACAGCAAAAGGGGGACTGTTCAGGGTCACAGTCCCTCGCGGGTGAACAAGTGATCTGTCACCATGAGTGTTAGAGAGAGATGGATTGAAGAAAGAGATCGAAAGAGGGGGAGGAATGGTAGGAAATATGAATAATAGGCAGGCACAGATGGGATAAAGAAAATGAAATGCAAGGTGATGTGCCCGAGTGTAAACGTTCAAACGTTTTGAAATGCCTGCTTTTTTACCCTTTCTTCCCAGACATCGATGCTCGGCCCTGGGACTTCCAGGCGGAGGAGTGCGCACTGCGGGAGAGCATCGAGAAGTTCAACAGCCGCCGATACGACAGGAGCCGGAATGGAGAGTTTGCACCCGTGGACAACTGCCTACAGAGTGTGCTGGGCCAGCGCGTGGACCTACCCGAGGACTTCCACTACAGCTACGAGATGTGGCTGGAGAGAGAGGTGTTCTCCCAGCCCATCCAGTGGGAGGGCCTGCTGCAAAACCCATGATGGAGGAAGGAGGGGGGGTCAGAGGGAACATTGCAGTGCAGCTAGAGATTAGTTTTAATGTGCAAAATTGTGTAGTCAAAGGTTTCAGTTTTGAAGAGATGGGGGAGGGGTGAAGAAAAAGATGCTGGAAATTGAGAAGATGAGGATTCTTCCACTAGATCAGCACAAAAAGATTTCATGCAAACACACAGAGGATGTTAACATGTGCCTATGACTGCTGCGCACACACATGGATATGACGGGCAACAGAGGTAGCAGTACATTTAAAAAAAAATGCTGTAGCAGCAGGAGATGTTTTGTTTTGTTTTACTGCCCCCCTGTACCCCGTGTTTCAAAAGAAATCTAACCACTTGGTCAGTTTTGATGTCCTCCTTTTTCAAATGTTGGTACTTTTTTGACTCGGTGTTGTTACTATTTATTTGTATCAAAGTGTGCGGTTAGATTTTTTGGACTAAAACATTTTTGAATGGAGATGTACATTTTTATAATTTTAAATAAGTTCATGTCTTTTTTTAAGTTTTGAAAAAGAAAAAAAGAAAACCTCAACGGTAGGTATCGGGTTACAGATTGTCAGCGATGGATTTTAAAGTTTTTCTTATGTCTTTCTAGAAAAAAAAGAACCTTTTTGAAGAGAACCACAGGGTCATTTTTGATAGCCCCAAATCTATAAAAAGCCCATATTTCAAATAATGTCATAGTAATCTCACCTATATGTCACCAAAATATATTAAATATACCAGCTATAAGTGGATAGAGTTTGTTTGTGAACATAAAAAGTATATGTGTGACAGTTAAAGTGAGGATGAGCAGATGTGAAGAGGATAGTTTGAGGTAAAATGTTTACTATTTGTCATATATTAAGTAGACTCTTTATCTTGAATAGAATTCTTGCTATCCAGGTATATCCTTTAAATGTTGGTATTTTGAAATTCAAATCCAGAAATCACAGAACAAAGTCTTTAATAACTGATGTCACCCAGGTTTTTTTTTTTCATACTTTGGAAATTTGGTCCCAATATGGTTCCATAGAAAAGCTCAGGGAGAGGAAAGACTTTCAGTATGAAGGTTTCGCTTTGGAGAATGTTTTCTTTGTTGCGCAGACCTCCAGCTTTTCTATGGAACCATCTCCGCCCCAGCAAAGAGTCTAATAGCAGGAATTCTGTTCGTGACTCCCTGCTTCCACCCCCTGATTCCCTCTCAATCTGCCCGACAACAGCACATCATGTTAAACCATTGAGCTCCTCAGTGGTGGCCTTGGTGAGCACTTTGCCACCCTTGCTTGGAAGAACAATAGTTATTTTTTTCTAGTTCGTCTTAGCTGTTTTTTGGGTTTTTTTTTTTCACATCCAACTACCTAAATGGAGCTCCAGATCTGAGGGCTCTGGATTGTTTCCCTGGAAATGTCTGAAACTGAAGCACACAAACACGCACAGGAAACATAAAGCATGGTCAGCTTTTTATTTTCATGTCACTCTCCCTCGGTTTAGACAGGAGTCAAGAGATGTCATGTATGATCTTTGTACAAAACAGTGTTAACACTCAGTCTCGTGCTTCTTATTGTAAATGTGCATGGACACTGTTTCGTTTTGAGGACCTGTTCACATATTTGGAATTGCATTATTATTCTTTTTTGTCTTATGATGTTTTCAGCATAATTAGAGGTGTACTTTATTTTTCCTTTCAAAGTGTATGTTCTGCATAAGAAGTGACTTTTATTTCTTCTTCTGGAAGACAAAATCTTTAAGAAATAATATTGTATACTTGATAGATTCTCAGGTTTATGGAGATAATATATTGCAAACTGTTAAAGCTTCCTTGCCATCACCTAGCTCTCTACCTGCAGAGATAAATACACATTTATTATACTAAATGAACACCTTGAGCACCAAACATTTACTGCATAAGATGTTCACTAAAGACAATAACTCATTGTGAGTTTGTATTTATGTCAGTTATGTTTCAGGTTCAGATGTATTTTTTTTTGTATCTTGTGCCAAATTTCAGTGCCATTTTCTACTTTTACTTTAAGTGTTCTTGCCTTCATGAGCATATTCAAGGTTTTTCATTCATATCACCACTGCAGGTTTGCAATAGAAAAATGTCGTTTTCTACCAGAAAATTGTACAATCAATGAAAACTGCTGTTTCTTGAATCTGGTAGAGTGTTTTACCAAACGTCTTTATTAGCATTGTATGGATGTCACTACAGTGTATATGTGTTCTTGTTACACACGTTTCCACATCTGTACAGTCTAGATTAATACTCAGTACTGACGTTGTTCAGGGGTATGTGCAATTACAGATCCATAGAGGCATTATTACTAGAATGACAAATTACAATATCAGAGTTGCTTATTAAACAATGTTGATCAGTTGTGATTGTTTTGTGTATCATTTAAAGCACTTCACATGTGAACACTGAAGGTCAGTCTAACCACGCACTCTCACACAAGGCTCCTCAGGCCAATGTTCTGACTGTTCTTGTACAGATCTAGTGGATGGGGACATAAACATATGCCACTCAGTGATTGGCTGGTGGCATAATGATGTAACAATACCCCAACTGGTCCTACAGTCAGCATCAAGTATAACCAGAAAATAATGTAAACTTTTGATGGCTTGCTTTCACTTTAAATGATGTCATTGGTTAAAAATGCTTATTCTACATGGCTTTATTCACATTCATAGCTATCATTATAAAGCATGCATACAAAAAAACAGCAGCAAACTCAGACCCTTTCTACGCTCAAGCATCCAACCAGTGGAGCGATAATTAAAGCTGAAAGAGTGACCTCAGGCAAGAGACATGACTCAGATTGCATGGAAGTGTAACCACCATTACACAGATATACATGCATGTGGACACACACCGCTCATACTGCCAGCGCTGAGTACATTTAAACCTATCACATGCACAAAGACAGACTATGTACACTTTTAGGGTGTTTTTTTTATTCCATAAAGTTGAATGTCAGTGAAGAATATACCATATTCAGATTAACTCATCCATGTTTGTTTTTTGTCTTAACTGTTATACTGCATTTTCAGGCCCAGTGCTGCTTTGCCATGGAACTCCCCTGTCCATGCCAGTCCCTGTGTGTCAGTGAACGCCCCTTCTCCCTCCAACCTGGAACACACCAGTTGAGAAATTGGAAATCATACATTTGAAGAAGAAAAAAAACCAGACAGCCAAAAACTAAAGCGAAATCATGTATTTGTAAAGTATTAAATTCTTCTAATGAATACTTTCCCCAAATTAAGTATTATAGTATTGAATCCAACCTAAAATTAAGAGGAAATTTAAGGAAATGTTGGAAATTTTAGGCTTTAAGTGGCCTTTATGAGCTCTACTATGGCAAGGACATTCATTTTTAGAAGTGGAAATTGTACTGTTACATATTTTAGTTATTTCTTTCATCCATTCCACATTAAATTTAATCAGTGCATGGATCATTGATTATTTAGGTCTGCTTCTTCATTCAGCCAACAAAAGATGGCAAATATAACCATATTGACTCTTATTTTATCTTTTTATTTGCCAATTTTATTTCATTCAAAGAAACAATAAAGTTAAGAAAAAACAAAAAACATAAAATCTTACATTTTGAATGAAAAAGGAGCAGAAAGAAGATTAATCTTATGATATCTGCCCCTCTTTCACAAAACATTAATTAAAACAAAACAGAACACTTCATTCAAAAACAACAACAAACAAATGGCTCTCAAAACAAAGGCTAGGACAAAAAGAAAATACCTGTCCTTGTGAAATTGACCTTTGTACACAGAGCCGTCTGGGAAGGTGTATGTTCCTGCCCCTTCATACATGTTATCTTTGAATCCTCCTTCGTATATTGCTCCGGAGGGATGCTGCAGGGTCCCTCTACCATGCATCTGTGAGACACACACACACACACACACACACAGGACTGAGCATGCAGGTCCACAGAGGTAGTATCATCAGTGGAAGTAAGATACATATACATACTTTGTCTTCATGCCACTCTCCGGTGTATATTACACCCCCTGCTGATGTGTGTTTCCCAGTACCACTCCTCATCAACGCCCCTGCTGCACCCCTGCTGCACTCCCCCTCTGTGGAGAAGTTGACACAAACTCATTTGACTGTCATTTAAATGTACAAGGCAGCGTCATCTGTTATCACTCACCATATCTGTCTCCATTCGGGAAAATGTAGGACACCTTTACAGGCTCTTCCCCTATGTAGTAAGTAACAGAGATATTAAGTAACCTCAAAAACATCAGGCTAGATAAACATTAAGCATTCACAGGTGATGAACTTAGATATTTACCCTGCGTTATCAAATAATCAGTGTCCTTCTTATCTGAAATGGAAAACCACACACACACACACACACACACAGCCATAATTAGAGAGCAGTGCAGAAGAAGTTGTCAGTATGTGTGCTGGGTGTTAGAAATCACATCTTCACAATGACACCCCACCAGACATCCGTGACAGCTTCGCCTCAGCAGACAGATGGCTTTCAGAATACGACAGTGAAAACGCTCCGTGCACAGCCACAAAAAAAAAAAACAGCTGATCAAAAACAAAAACGACACAGGCTAACCTGAAGCTGTATTTGCGCGTTAAAAAAACATAACCAGCATTGACTGGCGGTCTGCGGACTGTGTTGTTGTTAAAGCGCCACAGCGACTGAGTTACCATGGTTACTGGTTCTGGCAGGGCTGGTTTAAAATGTGTTTTTTTTTTGAGAGGCTGTTTCTACATTAAAAACTTTTATTCAGCACAAATCATAACGACTTTCCCTTTATTCATTTATTTATTTTTTTATTTATTTTTCAAACAATATGAAGCTATCAAACTCGGACACCGGAAGAGAAACTTTGAACCCCGAGGTTCAGCCAATGAAAGAGAAGCAAGCTGCCGGTGTTCAGAACAGCTGTATCAGGTTGGTTCACGCTTGTTTCGAAAGTTACGTTTTTTTAAAAGTACCTTTTAAACCTCAGTGTATAATAGGCACTTCCCTACTTGTATGTTACTCTTAAGCACTTGTACCTCTCCTCTTGGCTCAAGAGAAAGCTTCTCTTTTCCGGCATGTGAAGTGACAGGAAAAGAAGAGAGCTCGCTAGCCTGTTAGCATTTTTAGCTTGCTGACGCTTTACCGACTGCTGCTCATGACTACCCCTCACAAAAATACGTTTTTTTTCTTATCCTGTTAATCTGTGCAAAGTTCTGAATGCAAACATTGTCAGTGAGCCAGGTGTAAAGCTAAATGGTCATCGCCGTGGTTGGCTTGTTAGTCTGCGTGCCCAGTGTGATTGCATAATTGCAGCCAGCAGCGCTGTGTGTCAGCCACCATCTCATTACTCCTACTTGAGCTGAAGTGCCACAACAAGCCACCCCACAAGCTCTGTGTGCCGAGGATGTGCAGAAGCGGTCTGCTCTTCGGTGTATTCAGGATTTATTCAAACCATATCTTGTCTCTCTTTCCTTTCCAGATTGTTTGCTGCAATGAAAGGACATTGATTCAACGTGAGTATACTTTTTTTCTGAGAGCAAAAAAAACAAACAAATCGGTTGTGTTTGCTGTGAAGCTTAAACAATTAAATGAACTGTGACTTCACTGTTTTTTTTTTTTCTTCACAGAGACATGAATGCAAGGAGAAGAGGTGGGAAGCCAAACAGAGGAGGGGGGAGGTTTAACAAGTCAAAAGGAGGTGGAGGACGAGGAGGTGGAGGTGGTGGCGGCGGCGGCGGCGGTGGAGGCAAGAAAGGAGGAGCTGCGTGCTGGGACGATGATGATGATTTCAGCCTTGTTTTTGGAGCCCCTCGCTCGAGCAGGTATACATTTTATAGCAACAAAATGAACCATCAGGTTAAATATTTCACACTGTGTGCTCATGTTTGTTTGTTTATTTGTTTTCCTCTGCTGTCACTGTTTACCTGGCGCTGCCTCCAGACCTAGCAGAGGAAGAGGTGGAGGCGGAGGCGGAGGCGGCGGCCGTGGAGGCGGCGGCCGTGGAGTTGGCGGCCGTGGAGTTGGCGGCCGTGGCCGTGGAGTTGGCGGTGGCCGTGGAGTTGGCAGACATGAAGGTGGCAGAGATGCAGGTAGAGGAAGGGGGGGTAGAGATCGAGACAGGGACAGCAGCAGCAAGGCTCTGCCAAGGTCTCTTGCGAGGACCAGAACATACCCACAGTCAGGGGAGAGCACGAGGCCAGAGGCGAGCACCATGCCCTTGCAGAGGATCTTCATGACCAATGAGAACCAAGAACAACTCAAGGAGCTGCTGCGGGAGCTGCAGACCCAGGACTTCGATGAGAACTATGAGTATGTACATTCAACTAAAAACTTATCAAATAATCTACAGTCCTTTCTCTGTTAAAAGACACTTATCATACAATAAAGTGATGTTTTCCACTTCCACTGATATCATCCTCGCTCTCTCTCTCTCTCTCTCTCAGTGAATCTGGTTCTGACTATACGGGGAGTGAAGAGGAAGAGGTGGAATTTGATGAGCTGGACCACCGTGAGGACGGCCAGTTCTGGGCCACTAATGATGAGCCTGTGGAGAGGGCAGAGAGCCCAGCATATGATCCAGAATCTGGTGATGAGCGGCCCACCCCTGAGCCTGTCATCTCCTTATTCGCAATAGCAAAACTCTGCAGGTGATGTGCAAAATGATTTATTTTATTGAAGATGTGGGAGTAGATAGTAAATCCACAGCTTTTATTGTGTTTCTAGCTTTGAAACTTGTACCAGCAGGTAGACCAATCAATATACTCAGCTGTTACTTTCATTTGTTAAACCCCTGAAAAATTGACTTGTTTCTACTTCTTCAAAACAGCGACCAACACGGCAATAATACAATTTCAAACTACTGTTTTGGAGCAGCAAGAAGAATTTATGTAATGTCATTTAGCATTTGACAATATTACAATATTAAGCAAGAAGAAATGGTTTCAAAACCTCTCAAGAACATCTCTCCTGTGATTTAAAGCCAGTATGATTGCTTCTTTTCTGTCAGGAACCATATCACCTTAGAACTCCTTTTTTTTCCCCCCTCCTTTCATTGGTGTAGGTTCGGGTTTGACAGGGAGCGCAGCAAGCAGGCACTGGAGTCCGGCGGAGGTGAATTTGGCACCACTTTGGAACAGCTCCTCCACCAGGTTTACAGCGAACGCTTCGGCCAAAAAGCTCTTTCCGTTGATGGCCTCAAAAGCGTTCCTATGGATGACTGTTTGAGCCAGAGGCAGGAAGAAGCTCTGGCTCTAGCTGCCATATACGGGGAGCGCTTCAGTGAGCGCATCGCTAATTCAGTCTGGACTGTAACCCTGGACCTCTCGTTCCTCTTAGACAACGCTGACAAGAATGGCGAGCGAGTCTGGGGCCGAGGTGGTGGTGGTGGTAGAGGAGTTGTTAACATACGTGATGTCTGCAAATTCTTCTTGAAAGGGCAGGGCTGCCGCTTTGGTGATAAATGCAAGTTCAAGCACCAGCTCCCTACTAAAGAAAGATCCGGGGCTGGCTCCCCAGACCTGATGGGCCCGAGCCAGCCCGGCGTCAGCAGCTATTCTCCTCCTGAATATGAACTCCAGATCCGTTTCCCCAAAGGAAACCGTTACCCCTTTCAGCACCGATAGTTGCCTTTAGCACCACCGACGACTCTGTCGGAGCTGCTGGGAGGCTCAGTGTGACAGAGAGATTATTTGGAGAAGCGTTGGCAGCAGCAAAGAGCAGCGAGCCGGTTGTTTACACTCTGATCACCATATGTGAGGATGAAAATATGATGAAGGATCTGCTGGCTGTCGGTCATCACAAATACAGCACGCCTCCGCCTGTGGTGGTTGTTCCTCCACCTCCTGTTGCCATAGCAAAGAGTAAGAGTGTGAGGAATGCAACTGAGGAAAACAGGGGTAGTAGTAGCAGCAGTAATCACTCCAGCAGCAGACGGAGTGCTCCACCTAACAACCAGAGACCCATAGATGGTGAGTCAACCAGATCATTTATCGTCCTTATTATCAACAGTTAACTTTATTCATGTGTAAATGAGTTTAAACTCTATAACTAATGTCATAATAGTGAAAGAGACAACAGAAGCAGAGGAGCTGGATGACCAGGATGAGGAAGATGAGGAGGAAGCTGTTCCAGTCGAGAGTGAGAGTTATGTCAATTTGAGGAAGAAGATGGTGAATAAGCACAACCTGAAGCTTGACAACCTACTTCAGGAAAACGGCAAGCTGTGCCGAGAATTCCAGAAGAAGCAGGTAAAATTTAACGTGTTTTCCTTATATTTGATACCAAGACACAATACCAGGCATCCTCTGTAATATTTCTTACTAATGCATCGCTGTTCTTCCTTCCGTGCACACAGTCATCAAGGCGCTTCAGGTCCATGTTTGAGCAGAGGAGGAAGCTGCCAGCTTGGCAAGAAAGGGAGAACATTCTCGACCTTTTGGACCGGTGCCAGGTGCTGGTGGTCAGCGGGATGACGGGGTGAGTCACACGGGGCAGCATAGAGGGTTGTCAAATTCAGATATACTCAAACGGAGGAGATGCTATTTATAGTTATGATTTCATACAGAAACATGACTTAGTTTTATTGCAGGAAAGAGGAAACTGAAAGAGGTCTGAACCTTTTCCCTAGCAAAGTGTGTTGAAAAAAAATTATAATCTGGCTGTAGTGCTAAATTCTGGTCCTGTGTTCTATCCTGCATTAGTGAGGGACTAAATCCAAATTTGATACACTATTGATGGTAAGATTCTTTGGGGAAAAAAAGGGCTTCTGAATAATAACTTTTGACATTTCCTTCCATGTCGTATTGTTAAAAAAAATCTGCATAGCTCTCAAAACTATTTTTGGTCCGCTTCTTAATTTTGAAATGATAAGGATTACTTTACTAAAAAGTATTAATAACCAATTTAAGAGCATGGAGGATTTCTATTACATTGTGTGTAGATATAGAAAAGATAGAAAGCCAAATAAATTCTTCATTTTCAGGCCTGTAATATTCCATTCCTCTTGGTAACAGAAACCTGTTTAATCTTTGTTTTCTGCGGCTTCTCTGCAGCTGTGGTAAGACCACTCAGATCCCTCAATTCATTCTCGACTCCACATTGAAAGGTCGAGCGGATGAGGTGGCAAACATCATCTGCACTCAACCGCGCCGCATCTCTGCCATCTCTGTGGCCCAGAGGGTGGCAGAGGAGAGAGCAGAGAGTCTGGGCAACTCAGTGGGCTACCAGATCCGCCTGGAGAGCGTCAGGGTAAGGGCACGATTGCAATTTCAAATATGCAGGATGGCGAGCCGTCAGCAGTCAGTTAATTCTTAAATGTTATACTATTGCCAGTGCTCCCTCGAACTGTTTTATAACTGCTCTGTTCTGTTAGACGTCTGCCACCCGACTGCTGTACTGCACCACAGGCGTGTTACTGAGGAGACTGGAGGGCGAGGCAGACCTTACAGGCGTCACACATGTCATAGTGGATGAAGTGCACGAGCGCACAGAGGAGAGGTGAGATTATGCAAATGATGCATAATGTAATGAAAGTGCCCCTCCAAGCTCTACCCTATACATGTTTTGTAGTTGTGCATGAAATTTAAGCCCAGGCAAGTTATATTTACAAAACATTTCTCTGTAGCTGGTTTTTCATACATTGTCCAATACTC